AAACATCTTTGTTAAGGATTTCGAAACAGGATCTCCTGGTGCTACAGTAGTCTATGGCAACAATGGCATCAAACCAACAGCAGACAAATCCTTGTTCAAGGAAGAAAACATCTTTGTTAAGGATTTTGAAACAGGATCTCCTGGTGCTACAGTTTTCTACAACAATGACATCAAACCCCAGTAGAAGAGAGAGCCAGTGCCTAATATGTCAGTTTACCATGACTGAAGGCAATGGCCTCACAATGATAATGAGTACCTATGTTCTGATCAGTATCACGCTCTACGAAAGTGTGTTCCTGTGTTATGGACCTTTAAAGCGTCCTATGTGACCATGTTAATGATTGAATAAGATCCACATATATATGGTTCTCTAGTCTCTACAAAACAAGCTAGAAATCTCATAAGTTCCATTTAGTTTGATGATCAGTTTAAATACAATGAAAGCAAACACCTGCAATACATATCTGTCTACTTCTCACTTCTCAAAGACAATGAATTAACCACCTACAATGCATACTCCTAAAATAGATAAAAATAAAAAAAATAAAAAAAACCAAGAAAATGACTAACCTTGACACAATTATCCAATTCTTGAGATTAATATTCGAACATGAAACTTCTCAAAACCTGAGCCTATTGCTTGGTTGGTTAGCCAAAGTCTCAAATAGATACAACGTTTTGAACAATTTCATTACTGTTTAAAAAAAATTAACCCGCTTATATTATGTTTCTGTATCATTGTATGTAATTCAAAATTAATTCCTCTCACTGTTCAGGCATCGGCAGGCCATCCGTCCATTCTAACTCTCCAAATCAGAAATAAGAAAAAAAAAAAAAAATTCTACAATGTTGAGCGTTAGCCCCAGTTGCTTTATCTACTCGGCAATTGTTGTCTTCGTCTCCAGTGCACTCACTCACACCGTAAGGCATATTACTATCCAAATCAAAACCATTAAATTTTTTTTATCAGCTGTCTCTTGCAATTGATCACTAAGTTGACCGGATTCAGTGTTTTGTATATACGGCGTAGATTAACAGTTGAGTGAACCCACAGCGGATTACCGTGGACTGCCACTACAGATAAAAATTATGTTGTTCGTGGAAGCAGCAAAAGTGCAACCTGGCGATAGCAATCCAAACACCAGCAAATTACATATGGCGAAAGAGATCTCACCAACCAAAATCACTTTTTGCAATTTCCGTGATGGAGGAGAAACGCCGGGATGTGGCAAACTCGCCGGCGGGGCCGAGCTCGGTGGAGGCAGAGCCGGCTTCCACGCGGCGTCGAGCAGGAGCCCAGAAGAGAAAAGCAAATACCCTCGCTGCATCCAGCTCTTCTTCGTTGCCGTCCAAAAGGATTACTCGCGAGAAATCAAGTTTATTTTCCCAGTCTGCAATCCTCCATAACGGTCCCTTTACCAGGGCTCGTCTTGGGGCACCTAGTAACCTGAGCTCGGGAGCTGGATCGGCTCGAGTGAAGCTCGAGGAACCAGGGTTGGCGAGGGAGAAAGCGAGGCTCGAGGAATTGGAGGAGCTGAATAAGGCAAATGAACAGTGGGAAGCTTTGGAGGCTAAGATTGAGACTGAGTTCGAGGCCATTAGATCTCGCGAAAGTACTGCCCATGTGGTGCCGAATCATTGTGGTGAGTTCTTTTGTGTCAATTTCAATTTTTTTATTTTTGTTTCATTGTTGGTAAACGGACAGGGAAGGTGAGAAAGTTGAGGTTTTTCGATTATAGCTAGGCAATTTCACCTCAGCTAGTGAGAAAGAAAAATTTTGGGGTGCAAATTTGAGGTGTTCTTATGGTTTGTTGCTCCATTCACCTAGTAATACTGTGTTTGTTTTCAGTTTGGAGTGAATTATTTGTTTTAATGAGGAATAATGGGAGTGAATTGAGCTGAAATGGGGGATCTTTTTGTGATTCATTTCTTCTATGTATGATTGCTGCTATGTAAGTAAAACCCAAAGTGTGCATTTTGTTAAGGAGTGAAGTTTTTCTTTTCTTTTTCTGTTTGTTTTCAGAGAAGAAGTATGGGATAAAAGAAAGTAAAAAAGTTTGAATTTCTAACTTGAGCTAAATTTCTACATGTCAAGTTGGCTTTAACAATGTCTTGTTTATGCTTTGGTCTTCGGTGATGGATTAAAATTTTGGTGACGTTACTTTCCTTTTTTATGAGTGGAATTGTGAATCCGTTGTTTCAGTGCGTTCTCATAGGATGCTAATTGGGGATTGGGTTGCTGAGGAACTGATTAGAAAATATAGAATACAAAAGCTTTTTGAATATCCTACTTCTTTTTGAACTGAAGTGTACTAAATTCCTGTCATGGTTCCTCAAATTTGAAAGCTTCAAGTTTATCTTCATTTATATGATTGCTTATCTGATATCTAAGCTTTATTCCAGTTGACAGTGAGCTAGTTGCTGGTTCCGGGAAAAGAAAAAAAAAAAAAAAGAGAGCAAAGAAAAGCTGTAACAAAAAATTGAATTTTAGTCCTCCTTAATTTTATTAGATTGAACTATTGAGGGCTCAGGTTTATACAAAGAGAATTCAACATTTGAAGTTTTTTTCTTTAATTTCATTAAGTTTAAAGTTACTTAGAATAGGCCAAATTGCCTCTTTGGCTGCTTGAGATTTGACAGAAATAATTAATGGTATTTCATTTCTCCTTTTTTGGCCCACTGATTGCCAGCTACTTTACAGAGCATTTGTTTTAAGGCCGTTATCGGACTGACTTCTTTGTAAACTTCTTACTTTTTTGGTTTCTTTGCAATATGAGCCAAGGAGAAGGAAATGGAAGTTTAGATAAATTTATGATTTTAGTCTTGCATAAAGGTTATTTTTCCTACTCTTTCTTTTGTTAATATGATCATATCCTGTTCCCTGGGTTTACAGGTTGGTTTTCATGGACAAAAATTCACCCTCTTGAAAAGCATACATTGCCTTCATTCTTTAATGGCAAGATCCCAACCCGTACACCTGATATTTACATGGAGATACGTAATTGGATTGTGAAGAAATTTCGCGCAAACCTGAATACACAGATTGAGTTGAAAGACCTATCAGAGCTTGAAGTTGGAGACTTGGATGCAAGGCAGGAGGTGATGGAGTTCTTGGACTACTGGGGTTTGATCAACTTCCACCCATTTCCCCTAGTAGATTCTACTGTGGCAAGTACCGATGGTGATGGGGCAGCCAAAAATGATTCTTTGATTGAAAAATTATATTGCTTTGAAGCAGTTGAATCATGCCCCCTTATTGTTCTCAAGCCTAAACTCACAACACCATCCCTTCCATCTGGCTTCTTTCCAGAATCTGCCGCTGTTGAGGATTTAGGGCAACCAGAGGAACCAGAGTACCATTGTAACTCATGTTCAGCTGATTGCTCTCGGAAGCGTTACCATTGCCAAAAGCAGGTAGGTTCTTGCCTGAGATTCTATTGTCTGAATGTCAAAGTATATGTTGCACTACTTGAAGCAAATTTTTCTTTGACTGATCAAACATGCACATCTATGTGCATTCTGCATGTAACAAATTTTGTTCTGAGCAGAGCAGAACGTCTAAATCATTAACCAAGTTTTCAATTTTTCCCAGATCAAATTCATGTTTCTATTTATCGTTCCTCTTTGGTATAAGTTTTTTGATTCATTTTTATTCTGAAAAATAGATGTGTATTACTTCTTCTGTTCAAGTAAAAATGACATTCGAAATGCACCAATTTTAACTAAAAATGCTAGTTGAGCAGAGTTGGTATAATTTGCACGTTGACCACTCAATGCATGATGCAGTGTCTGTCCACTGCTCCATGGCCATAAAATGTATTATTTTCACAATGATTATGTATCCAAGTTAGTGTCTTAAGTTTTGTTGATTGACTGATTCAGTTCTCCATTTCCTTCTTTTAATGGTAGCTCTGATGCTAATTATTTTCTTATTTGACAGGCAGATTTTGACTTATGTACTGATTGCTTTAATAATGGGAAGTTTGGCTCTGACATGTCTTCTTCGGATTTCATTCTCATGGAGCCTGCTGAGGCACCTGGTCATGGTGGCAGCAAGTGGACAGATCAGGAAACCCTTTTGCTGCTTGAGGCCTTGGAGCTGTATAAAGAAAACTGGAATGAGATTGCAGAGCATGTAGCTACAAAAACTAAGGCCCAGTGCATATTGCACTTTGTTCAAATGCCAATTGAGGACACTTTCCTTGATTTGGGTGATGATACAGACCCTAACTTTAAAGAAACTGTTGGTTCAGTAGCAACAAATGATGAAACAACTGCCCCTAAAGATGTTCCTGAAGCAACAGAGAGTAAGACTAGTCCTAATGAGGGTCAAGCTCAAACTTCACCTATGGAAACTTCAAAACCTGACAATGAAGGTAAAGTCCATCAGGAGATACCAAAACCCACAGAAGGAACTGAAGTAGAAATCTGTCCAGAGAAGTTGAAGGCAGAAGAGACCAGTGAAGAAAAAACTGGTCATGAAAACAATGATAATTGTGCACTGAAGGCTTTGAGGGAGGCATTTGAAGCTGTTGGTTATTCTTTAACACCTGAAAATCAACTTTCATTTGCTGATGCTGGAAATCCTGTCATGGCATTGGTAAGTTGAAGTTTATGATGCAGGATGCAAACAATGGAACAAGAAGATTATATATGGTTATAATCAATTTATTTTTTTATATTTAATATACTAATCTTGTCTTGAACCTACGAAAGTAAAATATAAAACAACGCTGATACTTGTGCTTCTAGAACAACTGAAATGAATTTTTTATAATGTTCTATTCAGAAACACTTTCTGCTCTTCTTTCATTTTTCAAATTTTAATATCTTTACTAGATTTCTGTAGATGTATTTGGAAGCTAAGTACAAAAATATGCTGATGGAAAAGTTATGAACTTTAGTTTGAATGAATTTTATTTATACCTGTCAACCTGCCTTTCCTATTAGGTAAAGAAGCATTTAGAGCCATTCTTTTACATATTTTTCAATATCATCGGAAACTATCATTCATGAATTTTGTGCTCAAATTCATGTACGTGAAATCAAGATTAGCCACTTTTAAAGTAGACACTACAGTAATTTAGTGCTCAAATCCATGTACATGAATTTAGTGCTCAAATCCATGTACATGAATTTAAGATTGGCCCACTTCTAAAGTAGATGCTACAGAGGCTTGCTTGATCACAGTACAGTATTAAAGGAATGAACCATTATGAATCTTTGATGGGATCTTATTTTTTCTGCTCACTGGCAACAATTCTTTTCCATGGCCATTTTTTTCACTTTTGAAATACTCTTATCCTATGGCAAGTTTATCATTCACATGCTATGCTCATTTATAGACAATCTTTCTTGCTTTGTGTCATTTTATCAGTGAAAAAATTTCAATACTGTACCTACATTGAAGTTGGTCACTCAGATCTTAAACTGTCTATGGATGTCTACCCTTATGTGTTTACCAGCTATTATCCTCCCCAACCCTGCATTGCTTTCTCTTACCGATGCATGTTGCTTGATCCTACAGGCAGGATTTCTAGCAAGGCTGGTTGATCCTGGTATTGCCACTGCCTCAGCCCGTAGGTCATTGAAATCAATATCTGGCAATACTCCTGGGGTGCAGCTAGCTGCTAGGCATTGCTTTCTTTTGGAAGATCCACCAGATGACAAGGAGCAAGCTGGTTCTGAAAGGTGTGTGAATATATATCAAGGTTATATCCCTTTAGCAATTTGTGAATGTTGTCTCTGATATCTGTGAGAGTTTGGCAGTGATATGAATGAAATGGCTGATCGGGATGCTAAGAAGGATGAAAACCAAGAGGACAGCCAGAGAGAGGAAAAGTCTGCCCCTGTGTTAGATCAAAGAAATTCCTCAAGTAATCAAGGTGGCCAGGATACTGAAGTATCTGTTTCTGAAGAAAAGATAACATCAGCTGCACTGCATGGTCAATCCCCAGACAAAAAGGAGCCTGACATGGTATCTACTCAAGAAGGTGTTAAAAATGCTAATCAGAAAGAACCGAACAATCCTACTTTACCAACAGACAATCAATCAAGTGTTATGGACGACTCTGATTGTGGCAGGAAGGAAAGTGCGGTGCAGCCTTCTCAGTCTAAGGAGGTAGTGAAGGATGTAGACATGTCCAATACTCTGCCAATGGAAAAGAATGGGTCTTGTGAAGCTACTGTAGTAAAGCAAATTGGAGAGCAATCTAAGCCTGCTGAGACAGGCTTATCTTCCACTGATATTGTATCTGATTCTTTGCCAAAGGAGAAGAATGAGCATCAGCAATCAGTTAAAGAAAAGCCAAAGGAGGTAGATATGGTGCACAATTCACAGACCTCAGAAAGGACGGAGCCTCAGCAGCCAATCACATCAAATTCAGTAAATGCAGAAGTAGCTAGTACAGGTTTCTCCCTTCCTTTCTCTGTAAATGTCTTGTTAAGAGTGGGTGGGTACATGGTTTTTTTCTCCCTTCCATCAGCATGAAAGTCAAATTATGAGGCAATATTTTGTGGAAAACTTTAGAAGAATCCAACAGGTCTGATTTAAAATAAGTGGGTGGGTACATGGTTTTTTTTTTTTTTTTTCTTTCTTTCTTTCAGAGCAACACAGGTATCGATATATAGTTTGGTTATGTGCTATCCGAATTTATGATGGATGTTTTATAAAAGTATAGTTTCAAAAGAACATACATATTAGAGGAATGAGTAAGATGTTGTATTTTTTGTTTCTTTTTTGGCCATTACCTGAACAAGTATGCATAAGAATTTGTCAGATTGACTGTGGCAGATTGCAGAATGTCTACTCTTTTTCCAATTACATTTCCTTACTGTTATTTATTTGCCAGGTGAGGACAGCTCTACAGGGCCCAAAGATTACCAAGACATTGATAAATTAAAGCGTGCAGCTGTAACGGCAATCTCAGCAGCAGCAGTGAAGGCAAAATTTCTGGCAGATCAGGAAGAGGACCAAATCCGACAACTTGCTATATCATTGATAGAAAAGCAGGTAATATCATAGCCAAAAGCCATGTAATTTCTGCTTAGCTTGTGTATTTTTACATCAGAAGGTTTACCTTTCCAAGGCTTTGTTATGATGCAGTTACATAAGTTAGAAACCAAGTTGACTTTCTCCAATGAGATGGAAAGTGTGATGATGAGAGTGAAGGAGCAATTGGACAGGTCAAGGCAGAGGCTTTACCAGGAGCGGGCACATATAATTGCCACCCGAATGTGCATGCCAGCTTCCTCATCTCGAGCCATGCCACCAGCATTACCCACCAACAGAATTGCAACAAACTATGTGAGCTCAATTGCAAGACCTCCTATGGGTCTGACTGCCCCAAGGCTACCAATGTCCAGACCAATGGGCCCTATGACTCCTGGACCTTCTAATCCATTTGCATCCACAACAATATCAGGAAGTTCAATTCGTCCTGCTAGCTAGGATCATCTTTCTTCACTTGAAATAACATAATCTCTGCTCAAAGTACATAGAAGTTTTTATCATTTTTTGTACAACAGTTGCTGATCCTGAAGTTTATCAAGTGAGTGCCCCCTCCTTTCATTTCTTTGTGCTCTTTTTCACTATGTCTTCTTTCAGTGGAGTTAGGGTTAATGTTCAGGTTTGTGTCTGTTGGGACCCCATGAACTTTAATAATCTAGAATCTATATCATCCAGAATGTTAGTAGTAATATCATGATTTTTACATTTTAGAAAACCCAATTTGATAGCATCACAGTTTACTTGTTTTTTCAATTTTGACTCAGCATTTTCTGGAATAACCTCAAGAGGGCAGTTTACAAGTAAATCCAGATTCTGGCATTTTTATTCCGGTAACCAAAAACCAGTACTTTTATCACAATGACATTGGCGTCTCATCTTCATGAAGAAACGAGAAGCTGCTTTTTCATGGTCCTGCTTCCAGGGTACCTTTACCGTCAGCACCAATTCTGTTAAAATGAGTAATTGGAGGGATGGCTTAGGCGCTTACCTCCCTAACTTTCAGCCTCACATTTTCCATTTATGGGCCTTCGCCTCAAATTTTTTTTATTGTGTATTTCTGTAGGGCCAAGTTGTTACCTACAAAACTTGCTAATGTGAGTTGAACATCTGTATCATTTGTGACCTTACCCTGTATTCTTGGCTTCTTCAAAGGTGCAAGTGTACTAGATATAGCTGATGTTCTTTTTGCCCTTCAGATGTAACTTATGTATTCATTCTCTTCTGCTGTGCTAATGAAGGATTTTTTCATATTTCTGGCATTTGCCCCTCCACCAAAGTTGTATAGAAAATGCTGTGTTCTACATTTTTTTAAGAGATGAACGAAAAGAACCTGCATCACCTTAATTTTCCAGCAAAAGAGAATCCACATGGAGGTGTGCGAACCATAACAACATCATGCTATCTTTCCGAAAGGTACCGGATTAACAACTTCCTGCACTCTGGAAGAGTATAATGAAATCAATCATTGGAAATAAAGCAATTCCCCAGGATGATCAAAGGCAAACATATTTTAAGAACAGCTACTGTCAGGCCTACTACACTAACGCCTGCAGCTTTATAGTTGGGGTAGAATGTATGATTATTGAAATATGAAAGACTAGTATCGTAACAACAATTGATACTCGCAGTGACTAACCAAAAATAGGTAACAAATACGATCTTAAAACACAAATGGCACCAAATAACTAAATCCAACGGACATTTGACAGAGCAATTTGTTTCTCACACAGGTCTACATTAATGTACAGTGTAGCCCCATAAACAGTTCCTATTGAGATGGTTGCGAAGGCCGAATCATTTGTCAGACTTGTGATGTGTTTACTGCTGCTGAAAATCACAATATATTCAGCATTCACATCCTGTTGGTGTCGGCCGGCTGCTGGTTCCAACATCAATGGTGTCTGGCAAGTATCTTCAAAAAACAGGTATCCCGCCAAAATAAATGAAGATAAAGTCAGAATTATCATCATCCATTCAAATAGTCAAGTAGAAAACCAAGTCAGACACTATCTTAATTGAAATAAATCAAATATGATGTAGGAACATGTGCTTACAATTCAATTGAAACAAAATTGTCATTGTCAAAACAGGACACTAGCAAGCGCATGGCTAACACACAAGTAGTAGTTCACCTCTGCTCAGTTTTGAGAATGATTTTGCATTGTAATTGGTTTATCTACTAAAATTTTGCAGTTTAAGGCATTCTTTGCCATGCACATAATTTAAAAGTACAAAAGGCAATAGCTAAGCAGAGTACAAGTGCATGAAAATGTATGAATAGAGATGGTTAATCTTTTCAACTTACATCTCTTCCTCTTCTCCACTCTTCAAGGCATTCTTTGCTATGCACTGGAATGCTTCTTCCACATTAATGCCTTCCTTGGCAGAGGTCTCAAAGTATGGGATACCTTTAGAGGCGCACCAAGCTCGAGCCTTTTTCTCTGACACCTAAAGGAGGCACAAGAAGCATTTAGCAGTTGTATCTTTACACACTTTCAATTTTGTACTCCTGTGGAAAAGGAAGAAAGGAACCAATGAAATACAAACCACTCTGCTGTTCCCACTATCCACATCAATTTTGTTTCCGAGAACAACAAACGGGAAATTCTCTGGATCTGAAGGGCTTGCCTGCAAGGTTCTCAAACAATTATTGCTAAATCAAAATATATATCATTAAGAGTTTGTTCAATGCACTGGTCACCAGAACTAACAAAAAGAGAAAATTCCAACCTGAATAAGGAATTCATCTCTCCAGTTGTTAAGGTTGTCAAAAGATTTCATTGAGTTGACATCATATACAAGGACACAGCAATCAGCACCACGGTAGAAAGCAACACCTAGGCTCTGGAATCTCTCCTGGCCAGCTGTGTCCCAGATCTATGAAACAAAAAGAATGTTTTAATGATTGTTGCATATGGAAACCATTTTAAACACTGGAAAAGATAGTACAAAAAACAGTAGAAATTGCAAGAATCTAACAGTGAAGTGTGCAAATACAAATCAATATAGATGCTGGAAATAACATCATTGCCAGGGTAATCAAATTCATGAAGCAATCAATAAAGTGTACTCCAATAAATGAGTAAGAGACAGATCATATAATAGTTCCTCATTATTCTCGTTTAATTTCATTATGTTAGGTATGAAACTTCATCTTCATTTTCCCTCTAAACTTTGCCATAAGGCCCCAGAAAGGAAAAGCAACAGCTGAAACAGAAACAATCAGGCCAGAAACTTCACAGAGTACTTGCTTTATATGACTCAAACATGAACCTCGGTATTATAACCAACCTGTAAGGTGAAGAGCCTATCCTCAAACTGTACTTCCTTTGTCAAAAAATCAGCTCCAATTGTCGCCTTGTATTGGTTACTAAACTTCTTATTTACATATCTAAAAGCAAAGTGTAAAGGCCAACAAAACCATAACCCAAAGAAGATACTTGTTAATGGTATCATAAAGACTAGTGAAAAATACAAAGAAAGATCAATCCTTTCCAATAAACAAGTGTTGCAGGATACTGATTCATCAAAGAGGTCTTCCCTACCCTGCAAATCACAATTAACAAAAAGTAGAGCAAAAACTAACTGCATTAATAATCCGTACAATCACAACCAAATAATAAAGAAAAACAAGAGAAGCATCTCTCCTTAGAATTAGAAGTCTAATTGAAGCTCGTAACAACTAAGCCATCATAACAACACGAATCAAGATCAAAAGAAACCCTAAAAATGGAAGAAAAGCACATCGAAAAAGAGAAATTCACATAGAAACATACACAATTTTGAGAAAAAAACTAAGGTATAGAAATACACGTAGAGCGGATGTAGAAGCAACTGACCCGCTGTCGCCGAGGATGATGACCTTCAAGAGAGTTCTGCGGCGGGACGGCATCGTAGCGACGGCGAGAAGGCGGCGGATCTAGTGTAAATAGGTGCGCGCCGTACAGTAGAGAGAGGAGGGAGGGGGAGTGAAAGGGAGTGGGGGATTGGTGGACTTGTTTGTCTGAGACGGAACAGAAGGCTTAAACTTGTTACGACGTTTTTCTATACGACTCTGTTAACCCAGAGAAAGGCTGTTCTGACCTGGAATTGGTGGAATTGGTGTTTTTTTTTTTTGGTAGTGTTTTAGGGATAATTTTTTTAT